GAGTTATCACAAGAACTCAGGGACATTTAAAAAATAGGGTATAAATTTGTTAGTCGGGGCTTTATATTTGCAATTTTGCATTATAATTAGGTAATTATGTACGGCAAGGATGAAGACTTGAAATGAACCGGTCAATAAATAATTTGGAAATTTTACTCAAAACTACCAGAGTTTAAGCAAGAGGCTATGAATAATGGACTATGAATTAGTTTTTGACACATAATACAATATATAAGGCAAGCTTAATCATTAACGTTTAATTTACTACCTAATACTCACTTTTTAACGATGAAAATTACCATTTTTGAATAGTGTTTTGCAGTATTCACAACAGTTTTACGACGAAGTCCGTGACAGTTATCACAAGAACTCCTTGACAAGTTATCATAAGAACTCCATCCCTCGTGTAACAATTCCTCCCCCGTGTCAATGTCTCTAAACAAAAATGTGTACACAATATGTCGATATTGTTTAATTTTATACACACTTGAAAATAATTCTTCGAACAATCTAACGGCTATTGTCTCGGTCAATATGACATTAGCTGGTGAATATCACATCGTATTGAATAGCTTACTAGTCAACAATTATACAATATACATGTATACTCCCATCATATGGTGTACATTTGGCGTAAATTCTTATTTGTTTGACAATATTATACATTTATTGACCAAATTTCAAGCTCTTGGGCTGAAGTAAAGGTACATGTACAATGTTTACAAACAGGAAATTTTCTAGATTGCTTAACATGTTGCGTAGTCATTAATTATTGTCATGGCAGTCTTGCGGTTTTACACTTCAGTTGTTCACTATTAATTTATAAGCGTGTTCTTATAACAAAAATAATATACAAATATTACCCAACGATAAACCTTTTTTATATTAAAATTTTGAGTAAATGACGCGATCGGATAACTCAACAGGCGGTCACTTATTTGTATTGAAAGATTTATTATTGGGACTATAGAACAATTACTATGCGTATTCAACGTCACGGGGTTCCAAATAAAACAATGAGTTTAATAAACCATCCATGACGTTTATTTAGCGTTAAATTTGGTTGGCACGCAATTATAACTGTATCAAATTTATTTTCGTTAATTGTCACATTAAGAATTATTTACGTTGCATTTTTTATAAAAGATAATTCAAATTAATAGAACAATCAACAATTTAGTATTTTATGCTGAAATAGAAATTTCTATAAAACAAAATATGAATAAAAATATATAAATAAAACTAAATGTAAATTCAAAATGTGATACAAAAAACTAAATGTCTTAAGTTTGGAGAAAGATGAAATGAAATTTATTAACCGAAAGTTGAATTCCTGAAAACATGATACAGTTCATTATACTGCGACGGCAAGTTGTATAAAAAGGTCCATTTATTTCTTTGTTGAAATATACATGTAAATTATATATCAAATAGTGGATATTTTACGGCAATGTACCTTTACGTTTTAATTCATGCGTAAAATTCAATAGAATTCCATTACAGCAAGGCACTCTTATAAGCTTCATCCAGTAACAAATGTCATTACAAATTCATTATATTGATTCAAGAACGGTAATCACTTTCGGACATCCCTTTCCTGGAGGAGGCGGAGTTTCGAAGTCACATGCTTATGACATCACAGAAAAACAAGATGGAGGCTTCCAAAACTGAGGCGCGGGAAATTGTCCAGAAAAAATACCATTTTTCTGGTTCAAACTCCCTTCAAAAATTGGGAGACATCATCTTTCAACACGAGAAACAAACCAACTCTCTTTTCGTGTAAGTAAAGACCCGTAAATAAGCTTAAGATACCCTGTATGTTTCATTCTATTATTGTCAATTTTGTTAGAAATAATACTGAAAAGCGAACGGAACAAATACGCGGAAAGTGTTACGGGACACACTGACACAGGGACCCCTCATGACCTCCCCACTCACAGGCACTAGACACAATTATTTTACCCATATACGCTCATAATACTATATACAAAGAATATTCTTTATATGTAGTATAATGAGCGTATATATTATGGGTATAATAATTGTGTCTAGTGCCTGTATCCCCACTGGCACTGTAGAGAACTGTCTGTATTTGTGCGATATTTTGCAGACAGTTTCTCCCCATTTTATTGTTTTAAAAAGATCGTTTTTTTCTTATTTGATATAAATGGGTTGACGTAGCCTACAGAGCCCCCTCTTGACTAGATCTACAGGGTTGAGACAACTCGGCCCTATACCTGTATACCAGCTCGGCACGGGTCAACTCGGCCAACTTAAAAAAAAAAAAACATTAATTTTGTTCTGATTACTTGCATGTTATCAAAACCATCTAATCACAGGCACCTGAAATTATATCCAAAACAAAAAAATAACTAGTCTTGGGTATAGGACTCAAAAATCACTATCGATAATCGGACCACCACAATCAATAGTCTGCCTATAGTATAATCGAGTTTCGCACTTATTATGGACCTATTTTCGTTTAAGGTACCAATCCTTGTATATATTTTTTTATACAGTAGTGACCACATTTTGAGAATAAATAAACTTGTCTCCAAGATTAAAGTATGATTTGCTCTTTGAATTCAAAATAAATGACACAAATACCTAATTAACACTACTTTGTGACAGTCAATTATTGTATAATACAACTTTATGGCAGTCAATATTAGTACTAGTCAACAGGTCACAGTGTAAATGAGTAGTATTGTAGATCACTCATTTAACTACAGTAGATAATTACATATAAGTTTATAATGTTATGTTATTACACACTATAATTATCTAAGAAGTATTAACCATGATAAATAGGTTTTGAATACAAAAAGACTTAAGGATTGTCTGGAATTGAAGAGATTCAGTCAGGAAATTTCTATTTTACCGCGTGTAAAAAAGTTACGCCCTAAGCAATTCATGCGGTGGTAGAACATTAGAACAATCGATTTTTAAAAAGGACTATCGATAGTTGCCGATTTTGGGGTGGTCCGATTAGTTATCGATTTTCAGAGACAATCTGGACAACACTAAAAATAACGATTTAAAAAAAATCCCATATATATACTCTAATTTTTATAGTATATATACTTGGCAGGAACCAAATTTCCAGACAATACGAGTTTCTGGACAAGTATTATAACGGCTTAATTTTGGCTTTATCGATGACAATCGGTATTTTATGTCATGAAGATGCTTGGTTTGATTGTTTGAGAAAATAAATTTCCTTCCAAGTTGATACATCATTAAAATTGCGTGAGGATATCTTACCTGTGTTTTAAAAACAGCCTTATATCCCTTTGGGGCATGTAATTTGTTCTGCGCATGCGCAATATTTTGTTTTGTATGGGGATATAATTTGGGGTAGCAATTAATGCACAATCTACTTCATTCGAAGTTCATTGGTTGTAATTCCCCAAAACTAAATCTGTAACGTATTGGAAAACGGTGTTTAACTAGGTTTTCTCCACTTTCGCACTTCGTTGCTGCCGTACACACAAAAAAATCCGTTTCACTTTTCAGTCATTCCGAGACCCATCACGTGATCGTTATTTTTCCTATCATAAACATTTTTCAGTAAATCAGCTTAATTATATAAGAAAGCTAATATGTCAGAAGAAATTTTTTGTTATATTAGAATAATTATCAGTTAAAAACAGATATGAATAGCAGCTTAATATTCTGCAAGAGTGAACAATTTACACTTTTGATGACCTAATTTAACCCTTCAGTTTGTACATTGCTTACGTCACCAGGCAGTATTAATTGTGTTATCGGACGTAGTTAGAGCTCAGGTTTTTGGTAATGTTAGTTTTATTAATGCATGTTTATTATTAAAAAATAAACATTTAAAAAAACTCGAATTCTGTCCGGAAACTGGTTCCTGCCCAGTATGGGATTTTTTTTAAATCGTTATTTTTTTTGTTTTGGACATAATTTCAGGTTCCTGTGATCTAATGTATTTTAAATGAAAAATAAGAGATATCTGCAGATCAGGTATACTATTATATTATTGTATTATATTATACATAGGATGGTCCCCTATGGTACCACTGTTCTTATTATTTCCAGCAAATTGTGCAAATAAAAAGAACTTGTATTTACCATTTTATTGAATTGTGTTTTGTTGTCGCATCTTGACATAGATGGAAACAGGACGTTTCGGCCCCAAACCAAATCGGCCCCAGTCGAAAAATCGGCCCCTGGACTTTTCGGCCCTTTTCCGTGAGACGTTTCGGCCCCACTATAGTTATTCCAACAATTATACGCACAAACACTTTATTTTCGAATGTTATAACTTATCTATAGCATGTACATAGCATTTATAATTTGGTTTCAGTTTTTCAATCAGTTTTATAACATCTAGCATCTATCATTATCTAATAGCAATAATAATTAAAAATATTATCATGAGATTATAGCAAACCGTTTTTCATATCTTTTGAAGTTTTCTCTGATATTACTTACCGCCAATTAGCATAAAGCTATAAACAGTTAATTAGTTACACCTTGAAAAAAATTACGTATAGTTTAATTAAGATCAAAAGATAATGTTATCTAAGTAATAATTGTAATTAACTTTCTTAATCCAGAAGTTTTAGTGGTTTGTTTTATAAATTAAGTAACCTGCCTTTATTGTTTGTTACACCTTTAAAAACATTAACGTACATCTAAATGGTTCAAGAGATCAAAAGATAATAAATAATCATTTAAAGAATTAAAGTGTCATAATTGTTTAATTGTTATTAAATAAATTGTTGTTAATCAATCAAGCAATATACTATAGTGGGGCCGAAACGTCTCACGGAAAAGGGCCGAAACGTCCAGGGGCCGATTTTTCGACTGGGGCCGATTTGGTTTGGGGCCGAAACGTCCTGTTTCCATCGTAACCACTCGACTTGTTTCGTAAATAATTTCTGGTTCCTGGTTACCAGTCAACGGATAACACTATAGTGGGAAACCATTACGTCATCCGAATGTTCAAAATGGCTGCTCCTGACAAACGGGGCAGATATTCCAAAACTATTTTGGGTAGGAAAACGTCCGTAGACGGTAATTATTTTGAAATTGACCACAATTATACTGATACGTTAACGATGTGTAACGGACAGGAATGTAATCGGCCTTACTGTGAGTCTGATATCCATATTGACCTGCCAAATAACGTGAAACGCGATGGTTGGAGAGTTGGAATGCGTGTACTAGATCTGGGTTTTTTGTTGGACAATTTGAAGTGTTGTTCTGTATGTAGGCTCGGACCAGTGCTTTTAACTAACAGAAGTGTTGTTGGTGAGCTTAGGAAAGGACTGGGTGGCTTTCTATACGTCAAGTGTCAGAATATAGACTGTGGAGAAGTCAATTGTGTACCTTATTGCAAAACTCGAAGGGTCAAAAAGAGAGGCATGCCATGCTTTACAGGGAACACAAATCTCGGAATAGGTAAGCAGTCAGGAAGTTTGTTTGATTTCATTGTATTTTATTATTTTATTGAATTAATGTATAACAGATCAACAACATGTATAGTATGCCTATGAGTGTTCATGCTGCGGTATGACTAAATACCGAATATGAATTCATATTCACGAATATGAATGGAAGTACCGAATATGAATATTATTTTCTTAAAATCACCTCTTATGGGATTACTTATGTCAACAGACACTATAATAAATTCTAATCTTTTGGTTGTAAATTATTTACTGTGACCAAAAACTTACCCGAATAGGAAAATAGGTAGTCTAGGCCTCATGTTTTCATTATATCATTTTTGGAAAATATGTCAGTAATGTCAAACTCAAATGTGCATCAATTTATGCTGCACTGAATTAAATCGCCTTTAGCTGAATACAGTGTTCGAAATTAGCAGTAGTCCTATAGCCCCCGACTACTAAATTTCTTCTCGGGCTACCAACTTTTCACAGTAACAAGCCCGACCAGGCTACTGTATTTTCAGAGGCAATATATAAACAACTGTTTTGAACAAATAAATCGTGCTAGTGAAATGTCTTTTGGGCTAGTGAATATTCCAATCTGGTAGTCCGACCAGCCTAGTGGATTCAAATCTGAATTTCTTACACTGTGAATACGGTATGTACCGGAAAATGGAAAATTACTTTTAGACCCTGTTGATATTTTAAAGGTTAACTCCCTTTACTTTAGTCACGCCATTGCTGTAAAATATCACACATGAATTGTGAATATATTGATATTGGATTTTTTGCAGCTATGATTGACAGTGTTGGTGGTGCAGGAAAAGTGAATAATCTGTTGTCAACACTTAATATCCAGCCAATACACAGGAAAAATCTTAAACACATTGAAAGGAGGTCAGGCAGTTTCGTCGAAGATGTTGCTGAAAATTCAATAAGAAGTGCAGCAAAGGATGCATTTAAGAAAGAAATGAGGTGAGAATTCAGTTTCAATTCAAATTTGCTGATTGGTATACACTATATATCATCATTTTTATCTTCAACTCCAATAATATTTCAGCATGTTTTATAATGAAATAAATACAATGTATGTTGTTGATTTTCATTAAGAGCATGTGAATCTTACACTTGTAACCGGTGCAGATGGGAATTCCCAGTCCCAAGGAGGTATTGTATATTTACCAAGGAATAAATGAAAGTTACACATTCAATATTATTTTCCTTTTATAGTGATATTGCTAATGAAGAAACAGAAGAGGCAGCTAAACATATGGAAGGACTTATAGATGACCTTGGAGTTTGTCCAATGCCTGATGCATCACCATCATTAAAGTAAGTTTCTATGTTGTATTTAAGTGCAACATGCATTGATTTAGTTGTACATGATGAATAGTATAAAAAAATCTGGAAAAGAGAGATATCTCGGAAGAACTGAAAAACAGCAAAATTATATGAAAGTTGCAAACTCTGTTTGATTGAGTCTGTTTGTAAGAGATTATGAAATGTTCAGTATTAATGAAACTTGCGCTTTCTAGCACCAGCTTGAGCAGTATCCAGTTTTCTACTGATATCCATATTTATAAACTGAAAGTCTGATTTGAATTGTTACCTTTTCTAGCCTTTTTTCCATTAATTTTGGCTGTTTGCATAATAAAATTTATTTTTTGTTGAATTATTTATAATACCTATTTTGATTTTAGAGCAGTTAAATTTTGTTTTGTACAATTTTGCCATCATGTGTTTTTCATGTAATTAATTTTATTAAGCATTTAGGTATATTTCTTCTGATACTTTTAAGAGAGAGAATACAACGGACTACTGTGGATTTTGACTCTCCTGCTTCGGAAACTCCAGCAAAACATTATAAAAGAAAATTCCGTACAAGAAATGCTAGTGATGTTGAACTGAAGGCTAAGAAGAAGCTAATGCCCAAATTTCCATGCAAGCGGCGATATGGAATGTCCTGTGCAGTGGATACTGCATGGCAGAAACGTGGATTTGACAGTCAAACAGGTAACTTAATGTGTACAGCTGTAAATACTTAGTAACTGATACATTCTTTATCATGAAATACAGCGTTTTTTTACACTTCTTTGGGAATGGTGCTGGTACCAGGCTGATTGGGGAAAAATGCGCTATTTTTACTTAAATTGGGAATTTTTTTTATGCATTTTTTTCAGCTACAAGTAAGATAAGTCATCATGAATAAAGAAAAAAAAAAACACTGAAATATAATAATTAATAACAGAAATATAATTCTAATTAAAAGGTATCTTAGCTCTTGAGAGACATAATTATTTGAAATCATCATTGTAGAGAACATAGACGTTTAGCCGTTATTATAATCATGTATAGCTTAGTTTTCTGAGTAAAAAGGATTTTCAGAACAACTTATTTATTAGTGCCAAAAAACATTTTGTTGTTTCAGCCCATACTTTTTTCATGAGCAAGTCTCGTTATGGGAAGAAAATTGTGAAGGGTATAGTTAGTCATAGGCAGTGTTCAACGTGCACATGGTGGAGACGAAACAGACCAGGGAAGAAAGTCCGAGAACACAGATGTGTACGTAATCATACCGGAAGCGCGAGGCTGATGGAGAGCACAAGTGGGGAAAAGGGAGTCTTAGAGCTTGCTAATGAAGGTACACCTGTAGAATACATTGAAGGGGATGGAGATACAACTCTTCTAGCTAGACTTAAAAATAATCAGAACATTTCATTGAAGAAAAGATTTGATAAAAACCATATAATGAAAAACATTGGCAAAAGTTTGTATTCTTTACAGTCTCAAAAAGGTGTGAAATTAAGTAAAAACACAATAATTCATTTACAGAAATGCATTTCATATGCTTTGTCAAAAATAGTGGTAATGAGGTTGCTCTTCAAGAAAATTTATGTGCTATAGTTCCACATAACTTTGGTGACCATCAGTTGTGCAAAGCCAGCTTTTGTGGACAGTTGAGAACCCCTGATGAAAAGTATGTTCACCGTTCTTTACCGTATAAAACAAATTTAACTGGAGAAGTTTTGCGTGAAAAGTTTGATGAAATAATGAAGCCAATAATACTCAAAGCTAGTCAGTTTGCTGATCTTGGCTCCAGCCAGCAGTGTGAACATGCTAATCGAGAAGTCACTCTCCGAGCACCAAAGAATATTTATTATGGTGGCACAGAGGCATTAGATTTTCGAGTCAAGGCAACAGCTGCCTTCATCAATGAAGGGAGACATTATATTTCTAAGGTACATTTCTTTCAATACAGATTTTCTCGTTATATTTGAGTTCTGTTGAGTTATCTTTTAAGTTTTTAAGTTGAGTTGCCTAGGTGAATGATCCAATATATATAACACAAACAAAGCAATTTTCTTTTTTATGAAGTTTAATAAGTTAAAATGTGGAATTAAATTTTGCGGACACCCATATTAGATAACAATCTGTCTTTAACAGCCGCATTTCTTGTTTTTGTAAGTTTGTCTGCTCTAGAACAAGACAAGTGTGTTGGAATGATATTGCAAATGTTTTCCAGTGCTTTGAATGAACACAGACATCATCAAAAATGTTATAATATTACACTTCTTTTTTTTTGAAGTTCTTTTTTTGTGTGTTTGTACATAAATCAAACAGTTAAAAATATTTATTATGCAATCAACTTGATGTCTTCTGAGACTTCATTCTGGATTTTTTTATTTGTTTTCCTTGTTCATGTTTTTTTTTATTGTTCTATTTTTATTTTAAATTATTGTTTTTTGTTTGTTTGTTTTTTGTTTTTTTTTGAAGCTCTTTGTTCAGAGCTTTTATAATTACTGTTTGTTCATTACAGTTTTCTGGTTCTTGTTCTGTGCACAGTTTATAGACATATACCAATGTCACTTCACAGTCCAATCTTGGTAAGTGATGTTAAAATGGATTTAATTAAATACTTTTTATTTATGTTAACATTTCCTTATAATACTACACGTTTGGTGTCTTTCCACTGGGTAATTATATATAAATAGTGTTCTATAATCTATATTATCTGTACACCCAGCTGCTGTTATCTTAAGAAGTTATGTTAATTATTTTTTTAGCTCACCTGTCACAAAGTGACAGGGTGAGCTTTTGTGATCGCTTTTCGTCCGTCGTCCGTCCGTCGTCCGTCTGTAAACTTTTACTTTAAATGACATCTCCTCATAAACCACTAAGCCAATTTAATCCAAACTTCACAGGAATGTTCCTTTGGTGGTCACCTTTAAAAATTGTTCAAAGAATTAAATTCCATGCAGAACTCTGGTTGCCATGGCAACCAAAAGAAAAAAACTTTAAATATCTCCTTTTAAAAATCGAAAGAGCTAGAGCTTAGATATTTGGCATGAAACATCTTCTAGTGAGTGTCTACCAAGAATGTTCAAATAAAAGCCCTGGGGTCAAAATTGGCCCCGCCCCAGGGGGTCATTGATTTTCCCTATATGTATATAGTAAAAACTTAAAAAATCTTCTTTTAAAGATCCAAAAGAGCTAGAGCTAAGATATTTAGCATAAAACATGTTCTAATGGGTGTCTACCAAGTTTGTTCAAATAAAAGCCCTGGGGTCAAAATTGGCTCCGCCCCAGGGGGTCATTGATTTTCCCTATATGTATATAGTAAAAACTTAAAAAATCTTCTTTTAAAGAACTCAACGAGCTAGAGCTAAGATATTTAGCATGAAACATGTTCTAATGGGTGTCTACCAAGTTTGTTCAAATAAAAGCCCTGGGGTCAAAATTGGCCCCGCCCAAGGGGGTCATTGATTTTCCCTATATGTATATAGTAAAAACATAAAAAATCTTCTCTTAAAGAACTCAAAGAGCTAGAGCTAAGATATTTAGCATGAAACATGTTCTAATGGGTGTCTACCAAGTTTGTTCAAATAAAAGCCCTTGGGTCAAAATTGGCCCCGCCCCAGGGGGTCATTGATTTTCCCTATATGCATATAGTAAAAACTTAAAAAATCTTCTTTTAAAGAACTCAAAGAGCTAGAGCTTAGATATTATGCATGAAACATCTTCCAATGAGTGTCTACCAAGTTTGTTCAAATAAAAGCCCTTGGGTCAAAATTGGCCCGCCCCAGGGGGTCATTGATTTTCCTTATATGTGTATAGAAAAACCTTAAAAAATCTTCTTTGAAAAAAAACAAATAGCTGGAGTTTAGATATTAAGCATGAAACATCTTCTAGTGAGTGTCTACCAAGTTTGTTCAAATAAAAGCCCTGGGGTCAAAATTGGCCCGCCCCAGAGGTGTCGTTGATTTTCCTTATATGTGTATAGTAAAAACTTAAAAAATCTTCTTTTAAAAAACCCGATGAGCTAGAGCTTAGATGTTTAGAATGAAACATCTTCTTATGGGTGTCTACCAAGTTTGTTTAAATAAAAGCCCTTGAGTTAAAATTAGCCCTGCCGGGAGGGGGCGAGGGAGGAAAGATCGTTGTTTTTCATTATATGTGTGACATAAAAACTTAACATCATGAAACATCGTCTAATGGGTGTCTTTCAAGTTTGTTCAAATAAAAGCCCTGGGGTTTAAACTGGCCCCGCTCCAGGGGCCTATATACAGGTGAGCGACCTCAGGGCCATCATGGCCCTCTTGTTCAAAAAGTCAAAGTTATGCATACTCTATTTTTCAGATTGATTGTATTACACATAATGTGGATAAAAGAGTGATAAAAAAAACCCATTCTCTTGAGTCTTGTTGATGATGACGTAAGAGATACCAGCGAAATGAATCAACATGTAAAGTCTTTTTCTAAAGCCCATTTTCCTTGTGTGCCTGATTTTGGTAACCACTTTTTTTTTTGAATATCAAGAAATGCCTTCAAAATCATATGTATAGTGCTTTGACACTGTTGCAGTAAGTATTTCAAATTTTCAATGCTATACCTTATTGAACTGTATTACAATATTCACATTTCATTACTAAAAATATTTTATATATATATTATATAAAAACTGTTTCATTTATTAGAATATTATCCAAAGAGTCTTGTACATAAATAGAATATAAAACTTGATAGATATGCACTTTTATTTACTTTAACCCTTAATCTGCTAAATTTCTTAAATGGACTTGTCTTGCTCCAAATTATGCTGGGATAAAAATGTTTTGTAAGTCAGCCAATAGCTTGGTCAGACGGCACACATATGCAGACTTGTCAGATTCTATACCCCTGGTTCCAGCAAGCTAAGGGTTAAAACATGTTATAAACAGGTTTTCAACTGAAGATCAGGAAAAATCTACAACAGAATGTTTATGCCTGGAAGAGAGAAAGGCCGGATGATTATGTCTACTACCCAAAAGGG